ATAAGGAATATATATACACCATTTTTTACCTGTTCTAAGCAAATCTTGTGTGAACGGTGATCTGTTTGAAGGTATAATACGTCGGACTGCATCGGTCCAAGATCCATAATGGATATCTCTAAGATAAAATACAATATGTTAGATTTTTAGTTGAATGACTTAATCATATGTATTTTGATGGCCAAAATTAAGTAAAATACATCCAGCATAGAAAAGAAAATAAGAATAAAACATGCATAACGATTGTCACATATTCAAGATTCGAAATAAAAGGTTATATATTACACAAGCGATTATCACATGGGAACAATGATTAAAATTAAAAGGTTATATATTACATAAACCATAATCAACGCCTAATCCTAGTTGGACAACTGCTTTTGTTGTGGCCCGGTTGATCGCATCTACTACACTTATTTTTCTTGCTAATTCATTCTCGACCATCATCCATATTATTTCTAATTCGTATGGAACGAGGTCCCCCAGCTGATCTTTTATACAAAGGAGGTAATATATGTGGCCTGCATTGTGTCTAATGTCGACTATCATATGGTGGACGAAAATACTTTTTGTACGTTTGTTGATAGTTATAAGTTGAATACCAATTTGCGACGAATGTATAATGTGAAATCCTCGCACCACCCTATAGATCCAAGCAAGACGTGACAACATGGGAACAAGGAAGCCATTGCAATTACGGTATATTGCAAGTGCATGTACAAGTGTGATCCACTAACATATTAACTTTGTAAGAGCGACTTTCTCTATGTGATATTCCCTCAATGACCTCTCATTCATTAAAACTATATCTAACGACACGAAATGATCGGGTTTGCACAATCTGATATGTAAATATGCCTTCAACCTTCGGTGTCAGACCTGACGGGATATTTGCACTAAGTGTGCGTCGTCTGAGAAAATATTTATTAAGTTTGTAAAATATTTTTGTAACTAGTGACTGTATTGGCATACATCGTTCTCCCCTAAGCACACCATTAAAACTCTCAGAAGTGTTAGTGGTCATCATACAAAACCGTTTCCCGCCTTCTTCACATAAAGCTCACTTATCAACATTGTTCGGACCCAAACTTACCTTGGTCTAATTATGTGCAGCTCGTGAAATGAACTTAATCATCTCCCGTAGTTGCTCATAAACTAAATTTTTCATTACACATCCAGCTTGCCAAAGATGATCTTGAAGCTGCACTTGTCTATGCTTCCTCTTAAAGTTATCCCTAATATGTCACAAGCAATAACGATATTGATGTGGTGATGAAAAATATCGTTAGAGTGCTATTGGAATTCCTTTCATCCTATCATATATGAATGTGATCGATCGCGTTCGCACACTAAGGATATGATATCTAATGCATGTAAAAAATCATGCCCAAGTTTTCGTGTTTTCAACATCAACCACTACAAAGGCCATAGAAAATAAACCGCCATCTGCACCTACTTCGGTTGCAACAGGAAAAACACCTTTATATTTACCATACAAGTAGATACCGTCAATGCTAAGAAGAGGACAACAATATCTGAATCCCTCAGTGCAAGGCCCAAATGCCCAAAATACACCTGTGAACCGTCTATCTTCGCAATCAACATGGTCTGATGATACTTTATACACTATCCCCAGATTTTTATTTGAGTGCTTCAAGATAATGTGGTAAGATCTCATAAGATTTATCCCAATCTCCGAATATTTTTATCATCACCTTCCTCCGAGCATTTCAACACTTGTTGTATGATACATCCAAGTTGGTCGCTTTACGCACTAAAAGACGAATATTCTTTGGCCTTAGATCAAGATCCTCCCTTAGTTTAGGCATAATCAATCGATATATGAAAGAGGCGGACGCGTGTATATGATTCATTTCTAATCGAGGATTGCTACATGTGTGAAGTCCGTTGTAGTGTGTTCTTTTAAATTGTCCGCTTACTCTTACACCCAAGCATGAATTAAGCTTTCAAGGACATTCTGCATTGCCGTCATGGTGCCCACCACTATCCTCTTCTTCTTCATATTTGTAGTAAAAACAAACTACATTATAGCTTGTTGCATTGCTTTTTGTCTGCCTAAACTTGACATTTTTTTGGATGGCCCACAAATGAAGCGCATGAATCAATTTCCCATTACTTTCAAATATATCGCCCTTTTTGAATGAGAATTCCTCGCCTTATGTATCATCAACTAAATTAGTGCCATTAGGAATACTTTTCATCGTGGAGTTAACAATCTATTCTTCTCCATGAAGTTCATCAGGCGACGAATCTTCTAACACGACATACTCATTGTTAGAATAACATCTGTCAATATATTGGTTGTTCCCTTCATCTCGATCTATTAAACACGTTATGCTATTGATTTGTAAGTTATCATATTCATCATAATCCTTGGATTCAATACTTGCATTATCATTTTCTATCGTCACTCTTGTGGAAGACATTATATCTTGATGGGGAGCGCTATCATCGAAGGTATTTGAAGTGCCCACAAGGGAAAGACCGCTCAAGTATTATGATTGTGTCCATCCTATATCTTGTTGAGGAGATAAAAAGCCGGCGGAGTTAACTTCAAGGTCCTCTAATATGAGAGAGTATACTCCGTCGTGATTCACCGATTTGATCAAATTTCTATGATGCTTTTCAATAAATAATTCCACCGAACACTTCTCGTCATGCAATATTCTAATAAGACCCGTATCGCAGTCACTTGAGATTTGAATACCGCTTGTTATGTTCCTCGTAATAGGATAATTACAAATAACATTAAGGTGATACTCACGCGAATTGGTTAATGTAAGTTTGTGTAAGTCATTAACCAATTCATCGAAAGTACATGATTTTGATATAAACAACGGCTTCATCACACCTCTTTCATATACGAGCATATTATTCTCGAGATAGTTAATCTTTACATAATATGAACAAAGAATTATGATTCGATCATTCATCGTTACCTCTGAAGAGTAAAAAAATCCAATATCAATATTACACGAAAACACAAAAAATATTACTTACCATTAAATCCTCTAATATCGATTTTAGACATCCATAATTTTAACCAAATGTTAACCTTTATAATACACTAACTTTTACAATTTTTGATAATTTTTCCTCTAACTTCATACACAAATTTCTTTAATTTTATTCACAAAATTGATAATTATTTCAAAATTTTAATTTAAACAAGTTATTAGCATGAAATAGTGAGAATATAAAAAATTTAGGAGAATTTTTTTTAAAGATTTTACCTAAAATTTGTCGATGCCTTAATTTTCGGTGAACTCTGACGGTGATGGTTGGCCAACACGGAAACAGCAGCGGGGGGCGGCAGGAGAAAGGGTCTAGGGTTTGGTTTGGTAGTAAAGGAGAAGAGAGAGAATAACTGTAATCGGGTAAACGCGATAAGAAATCGTGAGGGTCTTATATACGCTCTGCCCCAACTCTACGAGACTTGTCTGCCCCAACTCCACGAGACTTTTCAAGTCTCGTGAAGTTATAATCTTCACGGAACTTCAAGTCCCTTGAAGTTTTGACGCTCCTAATCAACTTGGTTACGGGGAGGCTTAAACTTCACGGGACTTCCAAGTCCCGTAAATTTTTTAAAGTTTTTTCGTCAAATCCAACCCAGTTTCAACTAGTTGGCTGAAACTAGTCGAATTTAGCAAATATTTTTGAAATAGATAGTTTTGACAAATAAGTTTCTAAACAGGTGGTTTTTTAAAATTTTGTCCTATGATTATTGTATAGAGATCATATTTCCATTTAACACTTCTTCATTTTGGGTTTATGAAACATTAGAACATTAGGAATTGGGAATATGTAGATTTCAGTTTCTAATAAATGGGCTTCTAAAAGAATCATTAAAATTGCTATTAGGCCCCCAAATTCTTATAAGTTGTCTCAAAATGAAGCCATCATATCAATTGCTATTACATTCCTCGATTCTTATAAGTTGTTTGAAAGTAATCCCTCCCGTCAAGAGAAGCAATAGCTATATATTAGAATTCTTAAAGCATGTTTGATTGAGATGTGACCATCAACTTAAAGGAGATCAAAGTTTTTCTCAATTTAGGATTTTTTTTTTTAAATTTATTTGAATCTAATCAATTAATCGAATCATCAGATCCAATCACAGGCGATCAGAACATAAAGATCCTAAAAAACATAGACTTCGAGATCGCTGCTGCACAACTCATTGTAACGTTCAAGGCAAGCAAAAAGGCTCCAATCCCACTGCTCGCGCTGCCTCAACGGCTTGACGACGATGCTGTAGTTGGGAAACGGAAGCTCCTCTTTAATTTTCCTCCCACAAATCCTAAGTGGCGCCTAAATTTTTCCGCCACTTTCCTCTTTAATTTTGGCAAGTCAAATAGCTGATTATGGGGGAAACAGTAAAATTCTACTGTGTCAATTTTTGATGGGCATTTTCTATAGTTTTTGGATCAACCAAAGAGGCCCTCACTGTCGGAGAGATACAAATATCTCCTCAAAGCAGAAACAGCTCACTATATCCGTCAAAGTTCACCTTAATGCAAACTTACCAGTCAAATCTTCCAATGAGTTTGGAACCTTGGAAGTTAAAGGTCACTCCTCACTCCTCTCGGAATTAATAACGTCATAATCCATAAGTTTATAGCTATGGAATAAAAAACCAAAGATGATTAAAATAAGCTTGAGAGGAGACAATTAAAAAGATATAACATTAATAACCTGACCGGAGATAATCTTGTGAAAATGTATGAGAAGAATTTACACCCTAACAAGTTGTTGATTAATACTTACTTCCGCATGTTCTTTAGATTTTGTACAAATAGAGACTAAATTACTGATGAAAGGCACTATTTTTTGTAATTTCTCCCCTCATCATTTCCTATCAAAATGGCTTGGCCTGCAACCTGCATCTAGCGACTATCCACATTCAAATTTATCAACCCATATTTCGTTAATCATAACGGCCTTAGTAAAATTATTCTAATATATTGTGAAGATAATAGTGGCAACAGAACACCAGGACATTTTGGAAGTTAATCACACAATACATTAACATGGTAGCACACTACAACAAGCCGTTGAGCACCAAACATACACAAAAGGAAATGATTGAAGATCAAAATTAAAACTTCCACAAGTGGCAAAAGATAACACTACGGCCTCACATTACAGCAACAATATTCTCATCTTCCATGATTTCTCATCAAGCTCTTATCTTTCCATGATGCTGCACTTGCTAATTGAGAAGAGAATGAAGGGCTGTATTCAGAATCCTTGCAAATCTTCTGCTTTGCCTTGGTGGATTCAGTCAAGCTCATGTAGTTGGGCCTACTGTTAGTGCTTTCCTCAGTCTTTTCAGATGCTAATAGTGTAGTACCTGATATCGGTGTAGAGTTGCAGATAGAAGAAGATGAAGCTGAACTCTCATCATAACGGAGTTCTGAAGAGGATGCAGACCAAACTTTAGGAACTTTAGACCCATGATTATAGAGCATTGCAGGGGGCTTCGCTGAAACTCTGGTTGTCACATTGTTCTTCTTGATTTTTACTGAACATGGTTCAGAAAATTTTTGGCATATTTCTTTGACATTTCCACCGTTTTTCGGATTTTGATCCATTAATCGATTTTCCCAAGGCTTCGCTGCCATCCATCGCTCTAACCAACTCCACCCCCAGTTGCTGTTACTGAGCTCATGAGGTTTTAGACAGGCTGTCGATGAATTGTTAGGCTTCCCATTTGTTGAAGATGGTCTCCATTGCTGAAAATTGAGTAAAACCAGATATTTCAGTCTATCAATAGTACAGAGAAAACTAGCTCAGAAGAATTCTATAAATGGTAACCTTTTGGGCAAGAGAGTAAGCAATTGCTCGTTCTCTCTTCAAAGCTCCTTCTTGCCTCATCTGTAATTTTGCTCTTACTTCTTCGAGGGTACCTTGGCTATCACACCATCCTTCCTGAAAAATCCACAATTCATTCAAATTAATTATTCTCTTTTACAGGCACATCATAAACTCAAATGCACCATAGATGAGGACATCAATTAGAAAAGAACTCCTAGGAAACTAGGCTATGTTATCCTGTCTTGTGTCTATTTAGGCACAATCAAGTGCAATTTCTTAAAACTTAACTGATGTAGTAACAAGTGAGGAGAGCTATAGATATATAATCAAGTTTATAAAATAGGCTCTATCGTAAACCAAATTACTGCAAGTGCAAGGTTTTGCAAATTGCAATTATAGCTGATACTTCCAAATTTGTGCATACTACTATTACTAATATTGGGGTAAAGTTTTTTTTTAAGCTCAATTTGGAATCAAGAACACCAAAATCAACAAACAAAAAGCTAAATCTGAATAAAATCAGGGAAGCATTCATCTTATCATGTGAAATTCTCTTGGCATGCAACTATAAGCTCGGTATAAACAACAACAACAATCAAGCCTTTATCCCAAATGTTTGGGGAACTATAAACTCAGTATCCCACCAAAAATTAGACGGTACCTCAGCTTCTTTCAAAACCTCAGCCTTTCCACGCCGTTCGTCGAGCATTTTCTGCACCTCCAGCCCCTCAGTCGACATCCTTACCCTCCGTGCACGTACACGTGCCTGAACCCTAACAAGAGCTTGCATACACCTCAGAGTAACTGCAGCCTGCTTCCTCACTTGCCGGCCTCTAACAAGAGCTTGAAGCCTCACCACTCCCTTAAGCGCCCTCAATGCTCTTCTAGCCTAAATGAGAGACGCTCAAAACTAAGATTTGTGACAGAAAAATGCAATCTTTGTGTATGAAAGAGGGGCCTTTTTCAGTTTTACCAAAAATCCTCTGAATGCAGTTTGAATCCTAATAGCAGCCCATTCTTCTCTGACCGCTTTAAAATCCTTGAGAGGAGCTCTAACCACCGCAGCCATTGCAGTAGTAAACCCATCAGCGATTGAGGAGGTATCTGAAGCTGCTTCTGACCCTCTGCTGCTTCTAGAACCTGAGGAGCCCTTCCACAGCTTCCACTTCTTACCTTTTCTGATATTGCCTCCAGTGGTCAACTTCTCCTTCAAAAATAAGAAATGCCCAGTTCAGTAAATGAAGTGTAAATCGAACTAAAGCGAGAAAGATTGGAACTTGGTGGAGGATGGAACGCAGAGAGAGTCGGAATCATCACATTGTCATCGTCATTGTCTTGTTTCTTGACGCCCACAAGCGATTTTATCCACTTGGTTGACCCGCCCATCTCCTGAAAAGCTCTGAATTGGAAATGAATGAAGATGGAAGGGAGAAGTATGATGAGAGAGAGAGAGAGGGAGTGGGAGAGTATTTTTTAGTCTTTAGAGTTCGAGTGTTTGAATTTGAAAGCGAAGGCGGATCGGGATAACCTTGGATCCGCTCTAACTTTTTCTCGGGGGACCCGCTAGCTTGACTGGTTGGGGTGAGTAATTACGATTCTGCCACCGCTGTTAAGAGCCAATCGGAAGCTATTCATTTGGGCGCCTGTTGGATTATTTAAAGAATTTTATTTAAGGACCCAAAATATGGGACCAATAGGAAGGACAAGTGAGGTGTCCCTCTCCTATTGGATAATGAGTTGGCCATCATTAATGATTACCAACTCATTATCTAATAAGAGGGGGACATCTTACTTGTCCCCTTTATTGGTCCCATATTTTGGATCTCTGTAGCAAAGCTCTTATTTAAAAGTGAAAGATGAGCGGCTTTTTGAGTTTAGAGGGAAAAAGAACAACTAAATACTCGTAGCAGGCAGGTTTGAAGTTTGAAGGGGTAGGGAATTTGAGTTGACGAATGAGAAAGAGTTGGGTGCAGATTCTGAGGGGGTTTAGTTTATTGGTCTGAGAGGCACAAGCAGCCCCACTTGGTTATTATGCTACTGCTAATATGTCAGACTTTGGTATGAATATGCTGCGGCTTAAGGTCCCATCACACTTTTTCAAACTTTCAAAATGTTCAATTTGTACGCTTCGATTGTATTCAATTCTCGACTCCGGACCAATGTATTTTAGCCACGTTAAAGAAAGATCAACACTTAGAAATAGCAAAATCAGGGATAAATATTAATTCGGACATTTTGAGTTCTGGTACAATTTTATTCCACCAACCTAGCAGGGGGAGGGGAGTGGTCAAACCAACCTAACACTGATCCGCTTCTTATCCCATTAGCTACGTGGTAATTGGAGATTTCCAACTATCTCAATTCTCATCGCCGATTCTAATTTTGAAGGATCAGATGAGCCCTCATAAGACTTCCACGATTGTCTGAAAAAGTTCTTGAAACTACTATTACATATAAAAATCATCCCTTGACCTATTTAGACTTATCTCATCCCTAGGTGTTGAAATCGACTGTGAAGATTGGAATCATTGGATAAGACAATGGGCGAGGATATGAATCCAACTAACTCTGCAAGCGATTGGTATTCTTCAAGCAAGAAGCGCGAAAAGAGAATGGATAGGCTCGTTAATTATATGGAGTAAATAAGAACCGAACTAGTTGATTCATTATATAATATTTAGTTTAATAATTGTGTTCTTTTTAGTGTTTGAGAAGAGAGAGATTACATACAAGTTAAAGAGAGATTACTTAGAGCATCTCCAACAGCTTCCCCAAAATTTTCTCCAAAATGGAGAAACAAAAGTCATATTCTCTAAATTATTTTTGCTCCAACTCCAACAGCTTCTCCATTTTGAAAAATCGCATTTATTACAATAATAAAGCTCTCTCCAAAAATTTGGAGAATGCTGCAGATTTGGGGAAGGCTCCCTATTTTTTCTCCTTCTTCCCTATTTTGGGGAATTGGATGGGGAATCTGTTGGACCAAAAAAAACCTCTATATTCCCCAAAATTGAGTATTTCAAGAAGATGGGGAAGCTGTTGGAGATGCTCTTACAAGTTAACTTTTTGGGAAAAATGTGTACATGCCCTAAAAGCAGAAACTTCATGTGACGAGGCCCCTCATAGTTTTCCCCATGTGAATCAGCCCCTTGATGTGTGACACTTGGTACTGTAGTCTTTTTTTATCAATTATTACATACCAGCTAAGCTAAAATCCCCAAATTATCCTTATCCTCTCTCCTCAATCTCTCAGACCCAGCAATCATATTCGTCTCCCCTCCCCTCCTCCACCCGTCCTCGTCGCCGTAGATCGCCACCGCTCCCCCGATTTAGATCGTCGCCGTCAAGACGCACAGAGCATTAATCCATTAGCTAGAAGAAGAAAAGAAAAAAAAAGAAAAAATGTTTGACCAGCTACAAATAAATGAACGATTTAATTTTAAAAAATAGTCAAAAATTATCCCCATTTTTCCACTTTCACGAGACATCCACGCTTTTTTGGAGGAAGCTGAATTTGCAATAAACCTAATGTGCGCAGTATTTTTGTATTTTAATTTCGAATAAATTTTTAAAATAGACCATTTTTAAAACTTAATTAGCAAAATAGGCTGAAAAAATATTTAATTACCAAAAATCGTTATAAGCTGGGACGGTAGTTATAAATCGTTGTTATAAATGAGGATACAGTCATGTTTTTATAAATCGTTGTTAATTATATTTGATAATAGTTATACCTAATGATATGTTATTTCTAGATGCTATCATGGTAGTTCTAGTAGCCCTCGAGTTAGTTCTAGCTTCTATCCTAGTTCTACCTTGTATACAGCCAGTTCTAGCCCACACCTTGCTAGTTCTAAATCAAACCCGTGTTTTTTACAAGCAAACTTATTAATTCTAACTTCTACGTTAGTTCTAGCTTCTATTACCCTAGTTCTAGCTTGTATACAGCCAGTTCTAGCCCACACCTTACTAGTTCTAAACCCAACAATGATTTTTTGCATGCATACTTGTTAATTCTTGCTTCTACGTTAGTTCTAGCTTCTATTATCCTAGTTCTAGCTTGTATACAGCCAGTTCTAGCTCACACCTTGCTAGTTCTAAACCCAACAAGGGTTCTTTACATGCGCACTTGTTAATTCTTGCTTCTACGTTAGTTCTAGCTTGTATTATCCTAGTTCTAATTTGTATACAGTCAGTTCTAGCACACACATTGCTAGTTCTAAACCCAACAATGGTTCTTTACATGGACACTTATTAATTCTTGCTTCTACGTTAGTTCTAGCTTCTATTACCCTAGTTCTAAAATGTATACAGCCAGTTCTAGCCCACACCTTGCTAGTTCTAAACCCAACAAGGGTTCTTTATATGTGCACTTGTTAATTCTTACTTCTACGTTAGTTCTAGCTTCTATTACCCTAGTTCTAGCTTATATACAGCCAGTTCTAGCCCACACCTTGTTAGTTCTAAACCTAACAAGGGTTCTTTAAATGCACACTTGTTAATTCTTGCTTCTACGTTAGTTCTAGCTTCTATTATCCTAGTTCTAGCTTGTATACAGCCAGTTCTAGGCCACACCTTGCTCGTTCTAAACCCAACAAGGGTTCTTTACATGCGCACTTGTTAATTCTTGCTTCTACAGTAGTTCTAGCTTCTATTACCCTAGTTCTAGCTTGTATATAGCCAGTTCTAACCCACACATTGCTAGTTCTAAACCCAACAATGATTCTTTACATGCACACTTGTTAATTCTTGCTTCTACGTTAGTTCTAGCTTCTATTATCCTAGTTCTAGCTTGTATACAACCAGTTCTAGCCCACACCTTGCTAGTTCTAAATCCAACAATGGTTCTTTACATGCACACTTATTAATTCTTGCTTCTACGTTAGTTCTAGCTTCTATTACCCTAGTTCTAGCTTGTATACAGCTAGTTCTAGCCCACACCTTGCTAGTTCTAAACCCAACAAGGGTTTTTTACATGCACACTTGTTAATTCTAGCTTCTACGTTAGTTCTAGCTTCTATTACCCTAGTTCTAGCTTATATACAGTCAGTTCTAGCCCGCACCTTGCTAGTTCTAAACTCAACAATGGTTTTTACATGCACACTTGTTAATTCTTGCTTCTATGTTAGTTCTAGCTTTTATTACCCTACTTCTAGTTTGTATACAGCCAGTTCTAGCCCACACCTTGCTAGTTCTAAACCAAACCCACGTTTTTTACCTTCACACTTGTTAATTCATACTTCTATGTTAGTTCTAACTTATATTACCCTAGTTTTAGCTTGTATACAGTCAGTTCTAGCCCAAACCTTGCTAGTTCTAAACCCAACAAGGGTTTTTTACATGCACATTTGTTAATTCTTGTTTCTACGTTAGTTCTAGTTTCTATTACCCTAGTTCTAGCTTATATACAGTCAGTTCTAGCCCACACCTTGCTAGTTCTAAACCAAACTCGTGTTTTTTACATGCACACTTGTTAATTCTTACTTCTATCTTAGTTCTAGCTTCTAGCTTATATTACCATAATTCTAGCTTATATAGAGCCAGTTCTAGAACACGGGCTGGGTTTAGAACTAGAATTAACAAGTGTGCATGTAAAAAACCCTTGTTGGGTTTAGAACTAGCAAGGTGTGGGCTAGAACTGGCTGTATACAAGCTAGAACTAGGGTAATAGATGCTAGAACTAACGTAGAAGTAAGAATTAACAAATATGCATATAAAGAACCCTTGTTGGGTTTAGAACTAACAAGGTGTGGGCTAGAACTAGCTGTATACAAGCTAGAACTAGGGTAATAGAAACTAGAACTAATGTAGAAGCAAGAATTAACAAGTGTGCATGTAAAAAATCTTTGTTAGGTTTAGAACTAGCAATGTGTAGGCTAGAACTGGCTGTATACAAGCTAGAACTAGGATAATAAAAGCTAGAACTAACGTAGAAGCTAGAATTAACAAGTGTACATGTAAAAAACCCTTGTTGGATTTAGAACTAGCAATGTGTGGGCTAGAACTGACTGTATACAAGCTAGAACTAGGGTAATAGAAGCTAGAACTAACGTAGAAGCTAGAATTAACAAATGTGCATGTAAAGAACCCTTGTTGGATTTAGAACTAACAAGGTGTGGGCTAGAACTGACTGTATACAAGCTAGAATTAGGGTAATAGAAGCTAAAACTAACGTAGAATCAAGAATTAACAAGTGTGCATGTAAAGAACCCTTGTTGGGTTTAGAACTAGCAAGGTGTGGTCTAGAACTGGCTGTATACAAGCTAGAACTAGGGTAATAGAAGCTAGAACTAACGTAGAAACAAGAATTAACAAGTGTGCATGTAAAAAACCCTTGTTGGGTTTAGAACTAGCAAGGTATGGGCTAGAACTGGCTGTATAGAAGCTAGAACTAGGGTAATAGAAGCTAGAACTAATGTAGAAGCTAGAATTAACAAGTGTGTATGTAAAAAACCTTTGTTGGGTTTAGAACTAGCAAGATGTGGGCTAGAACTGGCTGTA